AACCTATATCAGATTGTTTGCTGCCTGGGGGGGGGGGCGGAGGTGGGAGAGAGGGAATAAAATTTGGAACTCAAAATCTTATTAAAAAATGAATGTTGAAAACTGTCTTTAGATGTAATTAAAAATAATGTTAAATGGAAAATACATATATATGTTAAAATTGTCTTTACATATAACTGGAAAAAATATTATTTAAAAAAAAAGAATAAAGCTCCTACCCATTGCTGTGAGAAGTATATGACCTGCTCCTCTTCTAATTTTTTAATAGTATGATCTTTAATATTAAGGTTCTTTCTAGTTCAACAATCATATCTATCAGTTCTTTTAGTACCTAAGGATGTAGTTCATCAGGGCCATTTGATTTGAACTGGTTAAGAAGTACTTTCTTAGAGGCAGATAGGTGGCACAGTGGATAAAACACCTGCCCTGGAGTAAGAAGGACCTGAGTTCAAATACAGCCTCAGGCACATGATACTCACTAGTTGTGTGACTCTAGGGAAATCACTTAATCCTGATTGCCTCACTCCACCCCCCCAAAAAAAAGTACTTTCTTACTAGTCTCCTTACTTTTATAGGGTTCTAACTCTGTATTAGCCTAGACATATTTGTCTTTTCTAAACCAAAGAACATTTTCTTTGGTAGAGAAAACAGAAGTAAATAGCTCTGCCTTCTCCCTTGTCAGTCATCATTGTCTCATCCAAGTTGAGCAGCAGTCCCATCTTTTCTTTGATTTTAGCTTTCCTTACCAGCCACAGTTCATTCAAACTTTAGTATTTCTAACACTATTTTCATAGGATTTTACTAAGCATTTATAGTATTCATCCTCTGTTACCTGACCTTGTTTTCCATGCTGTATGTCTTTTCAAAATACTAAGTTAGTTGGTTGAAACTGACCTGCTTGCTGGTCATCATACACAACATTTCACCTCCTATCTCAGTGTTCATACCTCTTTTTTTTTTCTGGCTAGGCAATGGGGTTAAGTGACTTGCCCAGGGTCACAGAGTTAGTGTCATGTGTCTGAGGCCGTATTTGAACTCAGGTCCTCCTGAATCCAGGGCCGGTGCTCTATTCACTGCGCCACCTAGCTACCCCGTGTTCATATCTTAAATGTATACCCACCCTACTTCATACAATCTCTAGCTTCCTTCAAATTCAATTCAGTATCTCCTCATAGGGGAGACATATCTCTATCGCCACAGTTGCTAGTGACCTCCCACTGAACATTACTTTATGTGTATTTTACATATATTCTATATTTACTTATCAGTGTACATGGTTTCTCTCCAACAGAAGGTAAACTCCTGGAAGACAGGGTTTGTTTTGTATTTATCTTTCTATTCTCATAACCTAGAACAATACCTAGTACAGTGTAGGCACTTAATAAATGTTCGAATTGATAAATTAATAAAATTTAAAAAAAAGAAAATTGGATTGTGTAAAAAATAAAAGGCTGTCCTTTGCCCTATGCAAAAATAAATAAATGAATAAATAAGTAAATAAATAAAAATAAATGTTTGAATTGAGAGTGAATTTATACAAAGTATTATAAATCTAGAGATGAAAGAGATATCTAGTCTAACCTTTCTGTTTTACAGATGAGGAAATGGAGGCCCAAGCCAGAGGTGGGAATTGAACCACGCTGTTCTTTCCACTATGCCACTTTTAACTGATACTGTGAGTTCCTTCTACATCCACATTGGACCCTTTGGACCACAGGTTTTAATCTGGGGTTGGTAAAGTTTAATGGGCAATAATAATCACATTTTTATTTTTACTAACCTCTAAAATTTAAATTTTCCTTCAATTATGAATGTAGGTGACAAAACACAATAAAATTAGGCTTCACCAGACACAAGAAAAGTTAAGAATTCCTGCTTAAGACAATTCCCTTTTTTCCTCTTGATGGGAACTGCTTTTCTTTGTCTCTTAAAAATTTCCTTCTTGAAAAATTCTTTATCCATCCTGGGCTGCCTTGCCCTTTGGAATTCTGAACCAAGAGTTCCTCCTATGCTTCTTCTGAATCTTTTAACATTTGCTCTCCCAGGAATTTGGAACTATGCCCAAAGGGCTATAAAAATGTGCATACCCTTTGACCCAGCAGTAGCACTTTCTAGGGCTATATCCCAAAGAGATCAAACAAATGGGAAAAGGACCCCCGTGTACAAAAATATTTATAGCAGCTCTTTTTGTGGTGGCAAAGAATTGGAAATTGAGAGGATGCCCATCAAGTGGGGAATGGCTGAGCAAGTTGTGTACATGAATGTAATGGAATACTATTGTGCTATAAGAAATGAGGAGCAGGGACTTCAGAAAAACCTGGAAAGACTTGTATGGACTGATGCTGAGTGAAGTGAGCAGAATCAGGAGAATGTTGTACACAATAACAGCCATATTGTGCAATGACTAATATAGATAGACTTAACCCTTCTCAGCAATACAAGGATCTAAGACATCTCCAAAGGCCTCATGATGGAAAATGCTATCCACAAAGAAGAAAGAACTATGGAGTTTGAATGCAGATCAAAGCATACTATTTGCTTTTTTTTTCCTGTTGTGTTTTGTTTCTACTTTCTGGTGGTTCCTCCTATTGGTTCTAACTCTTACTTACAATATCACTAATGTGAAAATATGTTTAATAGGAATGTATATGTACAGCCTATATCAGATTGCGCACAGTCTTGGGGAGGGAGGTGGAAAGGGAAGGGGAGAAAAATTTAAAACCCAAAAGCTTATGGAAGTGATTGTTGATAAAGCAAAATAAATTAATAATAATAAAAAAAAATTGCTCTCCCCAATTATAAGGTCTACATCAACTTTCCTGTCCTCTATCACAAAATCTAGGAGGGAATGGTTAAGTTCCCTTCCCCAGCAACCATCAATGGAGTGAAGGCAGAAAAAAACCCAAACACATTCATTTCCTGAAAAGTAGTACATGAAAGTACTTAACATTAAGATACTGATTTTTTTCTGTGTACTTAAATTGGCTGTGATTGCAAACTACAAATAAGCTTATAATTTACAAGCATTATTTCTGAAAAATATATTAATATGCTTAAACTGACTGCTACTATACTCATAACTATTTAAGCATTAATAGAAGTAAAATCAAGTTTTAGTGAAAAACTGCTCCAAGAAATAAAATAATCACCCTCCCCCAAAAAAACAAAAACACCAAAGAACTGAACTAATTTAATTATAACTCTTTCTATAAACTTCTGAAGACTTGGGCATTGATTTGGTGGCCAAGGCCAAGACATTACATTAAAAAAAAACCCAATGTATTTATCTTAATTGTCTAGGGAAATCTGAAGCCCTTGATATTTAGAAGAGGCCAATTCCTTACTCAAAGTCAAATCCTCACCTTCATCTTTCCTGTTCTGATTGTGGATATCAGATATCAGAAAATTTACACTATAAACTTAATAAAAAGACATAAGGAATTTCCTTCCATAATGCAGGTGATTTATTTCATTGCTTTTCTGTACTTTAGACCTTAAAAAAATTTTTTTCCCTTATAGATTCCTACATTATCTCCGTCTTAAACATTCCATGTTGAAACTAAGGTAGGCCCTAACAATTCCAGATATAATACCTACTTGTTTCAAGGATCTTTGATTTCTTTTGATTTCACCACACTGAGACCATAAACCATCAATGGCTGCAGGAGCTAAAAATTTCACTGCCCTGTGACCAACTTCTTCAAGAGCCCCTCCAAACTTTGCCAGCCTGATCTTCATACCTCAAATAGATAATCTACCAACAGCTGTACTGCATTATTGTGCACCTAGGTGGGACCTGCCAGAGTTGCAGCTCCTCGGATAATACAGCGTGGCCCACTTCCTTGCGAGACTGCAGAGTAATACTGTAGGGTGACGTTTGTATCAACCCAATAAAACACACGCCTATCGTTGAGGAATAAGTACTTTTGATACATCTTGTATCTGAGGTTTAAATGAAATCATAGAATCTGTGTGTCTCAGATCTCTCTCTCACTCACTCACTCTCACACACATACCCCCTTCTTCTCTCTCCCCCCTCCCCCCCTCCCTCCCTCCCTCGCAGAGGCAGTAAGGGAAGGGAAGGAGCATTTATTAAGAGCCTGCTATGGGGCACTGTGCTAAACGCTTTACAAATATTCTCCTTTGATTCTCCAGAGAATAAAATGCTGGGCTCTGGGAATTTAAACAAGAGATGGACATCCCTCTCAGCGGAGTCCGGAGGCGTCTTTTTCCGGTATTTCGAACTGCTTAGACGAAGGAGGTGTTTCACTCGGGGCGCTGGGGACACCACGGGATTTGGGGGGTCTTTACAACGAAGCGGGCTCTCTCTGGGGGGGGGACGGAGGCAGCCCTAGCCAGCAGCCGCAGGACCAGGGCGGGCTAAGCAGCAGAGGAGGGAGATGAAACGGGGAGCGGGAGCAAGGAGCCCCAGCTCGGGACGGGGGGCGTGCTCGTTATTTCCCAGGTTCTCTCCCACGCCCCACAGCCCGACCCCGCCCGCAGAGGATCGTAGTTTGGGGGGGAGGCGGTGACACAATTCCACATTAACTCCAGCCTTGAACGTGAACACGCGCTCTTTACATGACGGCTTTCAACTGCTCTACGCAAAGAACATGCGCCGACATCTGAACGCTGTCGCGTTCATTTAAACAAGGTGGAGGGGGTGAGGGAATGTTAGTTAAGGGCCTTCGTTTAAAAAAAAAAAAATAAACTCAGTTAAGGAACAGAGAGTGCGCAGTAAGGAGAACGAGGTTAATAGTACAGAGCGTGCGCAGCATGAGGCACACTCGCCTGTGAGAGGACAACGGGCATGCGCAGGGTGACCCAGAACAAGGCGCACGCGCACTGAGGGACCGCAACCCTCTGGTGGAAAAGGGGGGGGGAAGAGGCGAGAGATCACCTCAGAGTTACGTCAGGAAAGGCCGTGTTTTACTGGGAGGCTAATGCCGACTACAGACCCCAGAAGTTTTCAGAGAGCGAGAGATTTGGCGGTTACTCACCAACCCTTAGCTCGGAGTCGGACCACAGGCCTAGGTCCGCTGACGCTTAGCTCGCGGGCGCCGCCGCCGCCGTGATTCCATCCATCTTGAATTTGACGTCATCCCACACCAGGGATGAGGTCATCGCAGGCAGAGCTCGTCACGTGCGCAGCGTTCCCATTGGCCGCCGCACGCCCCAGGGGGGCCGGGGGGGAACTGTGGCTAAGGCCGGCTTGGCTCCCAGCCTTAGGATTTGAGGGGTCAGGGGGCGGGGGGACGGGGCACTGGAAGTGGGTACGTGCTCACGTTTCCTAAACTTGGGGAAAGAGACGAGATCGGGCAGCGTGTGCTGGAGTCAGTGGCTGGACCCTGCTGCTAGTCACTAGGAGCCGTGGTACTCCAGCCGCAGCTTGATGCACGTTTGGGCCCGTGTATCCTCCCCTCTCTCCCCTTCCCACGCGGCTTCCGCCCCTGAACCCGTTTGTCAAAGCGGAAAAAGGCCGCGTTCTCCATTTGGAGGATTGGGGTTACTTTTGTTCTTTTCCTGATAAGCAGCGGGGCCCACGGGATGATGTATGTATTGAATGGTGTGGCAGACGGAGAAACGAAGTCCTGGGTTCAAATGCTACCCCTGCCACTTTACACAAGGTGGAAGACCATGTGATCGGTCTCACAACCTCAGTTTCCTTATCTGTTTAAAAAAGGGGGGGGAGGTGCCTTCGAGGTCTCTTCCAGCTTTAAATCTATGATCCTATTGGAGTGGAAAAGCTGCCCAACACCAAAAACAGATGAAGCCTCTCAAGGCTGTTTAAAGAGGAAAACTGAGAAATTTGAGGCTTTGAAATAGTTTTGAGCAGCCTGAGTCCGTGTAACATGTAGATGCACTCCCTGAACCACAGACTAAAGTATAGCTACTGTGTCCCACTGCCCCCCCACCCTCACCCCCATGAAGGGTGGATTGAGGTGGGAGAAGGAAAGGTTTCCGGTTCTTGTTAAATTGCACGGGTTGACAACTTTCTAGGTTACCTCCTACACAAAAATATTCAATCCTTTATAGGAATATTTTCGGTTTTGTTCAAGCATTAGAATGAGACTAAATTGAATGGATAGTTAACCGAAAAGTATTTATTAAGCACTTGGCAGGCATACCGTAGCTGAGATGTCGTTGGTAAGAGAAGTTCTCTACCAGTGCAAGTAAAGCATACCCTCAATTAATAATCTTGGAGAATTAGCATTGGAGCATTGAGGTGTTAAGTGATTTGTCCAAGTCTATAACACATTGCTACTGTTTACAAACATAATCATTGAAACAATCCCTATGGCTAAGAGGAGACAACTAGGACACAAGTAGTAATTATGACAACTCAACTTTATACATTGCTTTAAGGTTTATGAAATGATTTACAAATATCTCATTTTGTTCTCACTGCAACTGTGGGAGGTAGGTACTATTGTTATCCCCATTTTCCAGATGAGGAAACTGAGGTAAAGGTTAAATGACTTGCGCAGGGTCATACGGCTAGTAAGATTTGAACTCAGGATAGGAATCTTCCTGACTCCAGAAAGCCTGGCACTCAATCCATTGTGCCACCTAACTATTAAGTGTCTGAAGTTAGATTTGAATTTGAACTCCAATCTATCCTAAATCCAGGTCCAGTGCTCTGCAATGTGCCAATACAAAGTATTAAAATGCAAAGTAGTTGGAGAAGGGAGTACTAGAAGTTGAGGGATCAAATAAGGCCTCACCTGAAAGGTGGTACTTGAGTTGAGTCTGGAAAAAAGGGAGGGATTCAGTGGGGTATGCATAGAGTAGGAAGGTGCTTTGGAGGCAAAGGGTAGGTATAGCAATTGGGAGATGAAATGTGTGAAAAACAGAGAAGGCTGATTTGGCAAGATTAGGGGTCGAGGAGAAAAGAAGAATATACAATAGTTTGGGACAGGCTAACCAGGCATTTTTACTATATTTTATTCTAGAGGAAATAGAAACCACTGGCACTTATAGAATAGGGAAGTCATATAGTCAGATCTGTGCTTAAGGAAAATCACTTTGGTATCAATGTTAAAGATAGACTGAATTGAGGGGACTTCAGGCAAGGAGTCCAGTTAGGAGGAATAGCAATAATCTGGGTCAGAGGTGATGTGGGCCTGAATTAAGATGATACCTGTGTGAGTAGAAAGAAAAGATTAGGATGCAAGAGATGTTATAGATGTTAAAGATGGGCAGAAGACAAAGAAGTTTAACATCTACAGGCTGTTTGATTATACATCTGTAACTGAGTGTATCATGAGAAAGGTTTAATTACTTTGAGTATGTGTGTACACTGCAACTAAGGAGGGTAGATTCCACTTTAGCCATTTCCCTTTAAAAATTAATTTTCCTTACTACAACTATTCCTCAGCATGAAAATATTAGAATTTTAATGATCTGCATGTTGAAAATAAGTAAATGAAAGCAAAGCTTGTTAATATGTCATGGAAATATTGTATTCATAGCTGTAACCTACTTGCTGAATGTAAAAATGTGGATATTTTTAAGAATATTAAGGATGTATTACAAAGTCATTTTGCTGACATTCTAGATTGGCTCATTTCTGCCTAGCCAATACAATTAATTACTACATTTTTAAAAGCTGAATTTCTAAAATTTATTTTTTTCCATTAAGAAAGATCTATTTTCTTTCCCACTCACCTTTCCTTTCCCCCTCCCATTGGAAAAAGAAAAAAGAAAAACAAGGCCCTTGTAACAAATATGCATAATAAAGCAAAACTAATTCCCCTTTGGCCATATCTAGAATATGTTATGGTGTGTACCCTAAGCCCATCCCTTTTCTATCAGAAAGTAGGTAGCAGGTTTCATCACAGGCCTTCTGGAATCAACATTGGTTGTTGCATTAATCAGAGTTGTTATTGTATGAATTATTTTCTGTTTTTTGCTCATTTCACTCAGCATAAGTTCATATAGGTATTACCAGGTTTCTCTTAACCTATCCCCTTCTTCTTTTAGCACAGTGAATTCCCTGACATCGTGGTCCTCTTTCTGGTAGGTGCTGTGCCCAAAAGGAACGAAAATTTTAATCTCTGAAACTTTTTTGTTATTGTTGTTTTGATTTTTTCTCTTAAACACCAGCCTTAACCCCAGACCACTCCAGCCCCAGACCAAGCCCTACTTAGTCATTGTTTGGGCCCTGATTGGCTCAGAATGAATGTAAATAATAATTATTTCTGTTTTGGCCAGAAACCCTGAGGGTCTTCCCCTCTCAGATCTGTTTTTTTCCAGAGGCCATTCTTTGTCTCATTTTTATTAAGCCTTAATCACTGAATAGGCATTGCCTCAGTAAAACTGAGACATTCTAAAGACCTTAGTTTGAAAAGGCCAAGGTCTCCCACTGCATCCTAGGCCATCTCCAGTTGTCCTGATGCATATCTGGCCACTGGACCCAGATGGCTCCGGAGGAGAAAGTGAAACTGGTAACTTTGCACAGCCCTCCTTCACTTAAATCCAGTTCACTTGCATGTTGTGGCATCATCTCCTTGATGCCATGGTCCTCTTCAAGAACAAAGGACAAACAGCAGTAATCTTTTAGCACAATAGTATTCCATTCATTCGTATATCATAATTTCTTCTGCCATTCTCCAAGTGATGGGCATCTACTTAGTTTTCCAGTTCTTTGCCACCACAAGAGTTACTAAAAATATTTTCATACATATGGGTTCTTTTGCGCTTTTTAAAAAAAAATCTTTTTGGAGTATAGACTTAGTACTGCTATCACTGAGTCAAAGGGTATGCAGGTTAGTAAATTTGGAACTAGAGTATAGTTCCAAAATTCTTTCCAGAATGATTAGACCAATTTATAGCTTCACCAACAATGGATCTAGGCATTTTCTTTGACAACTAAATTAATGTTAAATCAATATACATTTATTATTTTCTGGATAAAGCAATTGACTTTCTTAGGTTTTTATACAAAAAAATTTAAGTATGTTTTGCATTTAATTCATTGAATCATTATGGTTACTACTAATTAGAATAATTTCAGCTTTTTATTGTAAATGCTCATGAGAATAAGATTCTGCATAACAACTGTGAAAAATGATTCTCAGAGTTTCCCCCCAGCCAGTACCACTTCTCTAAAGTTCTTTACAAAGACATTACTGATAATCTTATCCTGGTCAAACTCGAACCCAAGCCTGAATTGATTTAATCTGCTCAATCTGGTTGGAGACAGATTCTTTTGCTTAGATAGCCCAAGACTGCAGGTGGTGTGATAGAACAGGTCACGGATAAATGACCTAAGTCAAGTAATCAAGACCTTATTTTAATATAGCCCACCTCCCGGTGTGTTGATCAATCAGTGTTGATTGGCACCCATTGGAAACCCCTACTCTTCGAAGGGCATATAACCCTGTGCCCCCCAATTCCAAATTGAGCTAGTTGTGAACTGGCCCCCTTAGGGGGGCCCAGTTTTGTATTGAACTCACATGCAATGCATGTCAGGACAGCTTGAGAGAAATTAAAACGTGGACACATGCACCCTAATTTTGTTTGTCTCTTTCTTATAATAGACTGTAATTTATTGGGATTTGACAGAAGAGATGCACCAGATTTATTTAATATCAAATGCAGAGAGTTTTTCTTATCCATTTGGGACATTACAAACTGGAAAACTGCCTTGTAAACTTCCTTGAAAGCTTCTAGACTATATGATAAAACGAGGTATTTCAGATAGGGAAAAGAGCTTGGCTCAATCTTTTTCCCCATCCCTCAAATTCACGAAAACCCTTTGGAGTGCAAGTTCTTCAAGTACAGATGAATTTGCATTTCAGACAAGAGGCTTGACTTGGAAATTTATTTTTGTTTGAAAATATAATGTAAAGAGATCAGTTTTGAATATGGAGGGAATGTTTGAGGATAAAAATGAGAAACTGTGACACACAACTGAGGCAACTTCACACTGATTTGTTTAAATTAGCTAATGCTGAAAAATAGCAAGTGGATTTTTAAAAACATTCTTTATGAACTTTGTCTTCTCCCCTTCATATCAAAACCCTTTGACATCAAATGAGATTCAGCCAGTTCATTTGCTCACCACATATTTAATTTGAGGATTTTCC